TAGTTTGCATATTATTTTGTGAGGGTTGTCGACTGAGTGCTAATCGTCCATTAACTAATAATTTACTCATTTTATCTATTAAATCAAAATATTTACACAGATAATAAGATGATTATAATTATAGATTAGTTACTAGTTTTCTTTTTTTTTTGTCAACTGTATTTATTCTATTTATACAATACAATGAAGAACTTCCGCGATACGGAAACAAAACAAAAGTTAAATATATAGTAGCAAGCAAATTCTGTTCTATTCAAAGAAGAACATATACCACGGAGAAAAAGAAAGATATTCAATGCAGAATAGCTTTAAAAAGTTTGACAAATTTCTTCGGATGTAATTACAATTTTCCTATGACAATTACCAGATAAATAAATGAGAATATAAGTATTCGATAGTTTAAAAGAACGGAATGAGAACTCAGCAATCATTATTCAATGATAGATTTGAATATTAATACTTTTATCGACTTAAAAATGACGTTTAAAATATAGAGAAAAAAAACAAAGGAAAGCAAATTATTTTATGCTTCATTACACATCAATCAAATCGATAGAGAAAGATTCCATAAGTACAATATCGAATCACCGTGAAAAGGTACATTCCGGAAGGTTATATAAAAATATGTAAATACTTACCGTATATTTATAGATATTATACTTTTCTATATTATATTAACGCAAATAATGAATAAGTATATCATAAACAGGAAAAAAGTCAGTATTGAATTGTAATTTTTTTACTTTAAGAATATTTATCTAATTTTTAAGTATATTATAACATCGATAACTGAGGTTTTTTTAGTAAAAAAAAGAATGTTTTGACTTCCGGTAACAAATAATTGAAAAGATCAACAGGCAAAAAAAGAAATTGACATATATGTTTAGTCTTTATTCTCGGCTCTGTTTTATGAGAAAAATCATGCTGGAACGTTACGTTGACAATCTGTTCTTTTTATTTATTCCAAGCCAACAATATAATGACATTGACTGATGATTGCCAATAAAATATTTTACAAAAAAACCTAGTCAACTATCACATTCTAATATCATGTTGAAATATATATTTATCATGTTGATTATAATTACAATAGTTCAATTGTAAAGAGAAAATATTTATATAATTTGAGTTTAACATAAATATCGCCAAATTCAATTAACTATTCACTTGATTTCGGAAGAGAAAACGAATTATTAGTAAATATATACAATATAATTGAAGTCTATTAGAGATTTCTTTATACATAATAGTCATAAATGAAGTATTTATTATTCGATAGAAAATCATATTATTTATTACTATGTATTGAATAAATCTTGTAACTTAAGTTGTTAGCTTCTATTTGATTTTCTATAGAAATCACTTTCATTTTATCTTTTACAAACTTCGAAGTCATACAACTTTCCTGATATTCTATAATTGCCATGTAATTGTATCCGCATGATTAGTACGTGTTTGTGTATTATAACTCGTTTTTCTTTCAAAACGGATATAAAAATATTTGTTGAGTATTTGAATCTATTTGAATTATTCATTTTGTTGATTTTGTTATAATTGATTCAAATTTCCATGATTTTCAATCAATTGTGTTTTCAAACAGTTAACTCAGTGTTATCAACTGCCACACGTATTTCATCTATACTTATGTTTATAAATTAGTAATTGATTATAGGTATAATAAATCTTGCACATTCTTTCTGTATTATATTATTGTATATCTAAAAGTTATTAATTGAAAACTCCAGTAAAATTTTCAAGTCATGCTCGATCTTTTATCATACTGTCCTGCGTGACAATGATAACAAACTATTTTTGTCTTTACCGTGTGGTACATAGATAAGCGTCAAAAACTAATTGAGAGTTATGACAAAATCAACTTTTAGAATATCTCAAAGTGCCATTGTACTCTTAATTCTAATAAGCAAAACCCTTTGTATTTCCGGATTCAGAAAATGACGTCATCCATGCTTCCTCTTTTTAAAATAAAACGGATATTCTGAATATCTATGAAACTGACTATCTAAATAAGCACATTAGGGAGTTGTGAGACTTATGTCTATGCATACATCAAGCTTCATTTCAATAGGTTTACGGCAGCCTGAAATTATTTAAGCACTTAAAATAGATGTATACTGTATAAAATATGCTGATACTCAAAGAGCTAACTCACTTCGATATTCATCGAAGCAACATACGTTTTAAGTCTGACAGCAGATGAGGATATTGATGAGTATAAAGCTCAGATCAAAACCAACACCCTGTTTCTATCTGAATTTATTATAATAATCTTCGCTCTCATAGTTTATATATATATTGGTACCTAACATAATCCCTGCAATAATTTATTAATGCTTTATAATGACATGGCAAAATTATTGTACCGATGTACTAATTCCTATGTTACATGTACAATCGTATTTGAACTTTGTTTCGAGTTCGTAGATTATTCAAAAATTAAGAAATTTAAAAAATGTTGTTGTTTGACAAGACGATTTGCAATTAGCGAACAATTTTTATGCAAAATCACGATTAAAACAATGAAAAATTGACAAAAAGAATGCTTTAGATATTGCAATCAATTTAACAGTATTTAAAAATATATTAATTATTTCTTTCAATAAAATCTATTTTCAAGCATTACAAAAATTTCTTATTCAATGCCATCTGTTCTCGAATGTTTATATTATTGAGTGGAAGCGTATGTCATTGGCATGGAAACAGACACATGAATGTCTACTATATGAAAACGATGATGGAAAAAGTGTTGTTTCGTTCTTCTTAAATTGTTGAATAAAGTGAAAGAATCCATACATAAACTATGACTACCTTTGCTCATCATTCACTGCTCGATAGTCGATATGCAGCTATAGCCGAAACTAGTGTATATACTTATGATGATGATCTTGTTAATTATGCTGAATTTCTTAAGTAAATAAAACTATATAAAATGAATTATTTAATAATTATGTATTCATATCTAGAAAACATGAACGATATATGACAAAAGGTGGTTATCTTGATTCTAATCGACGTGTTCGTTCACTTCAACGACAACAAAATGATTCAAATGTACCACAGAATCAAAATTCATCATTAAGAAATAGTTTACCTGCTTCTATTAATAAGTCTTCTTCAACACCAACTTTAAAACCATCGAAAAAATCTAAGCAACCCAGTGAAATTGAATTACCATCAATTATATCTGTTTCAACAAATATTGAACATAATCAAAAAGAATATGATAGACAATTGAGACTTATTGAGGTTTATTTGAGTTCATGGAGAAAAAAATAAATCTATTTATATTTAGGGACAAGTAATAAAATCAAAAGAAAATGAACTTGAATTAAAACGTTCAGAACGTGATGTTAAAAAAGAACAACGACCATTACATTATACTCTTAAAGAACTTGATTTTGGTCAGTTTTATTGTATATGAATTATTTTTTCAATTACATATATACTTTTTTAGATGGACCTAAAAAACGTTTTGATGCTGAAAGATTTCAATCGAAAAATCCGGATGAAAAAGAGTTATCAAAAAAGAAAGAACAGGTAAAATTTTATTAGTTTTTAATTTTATTTATTTGTTTGATTTTGAATAGCAAAATAAACAACGACCTGATCATGTCGTTGATTTAATACAAACTGGTAAAGATGCTGATCGTGAAAATGTACTTGTTTGTAATGATCTTGCTCGACAATATCGAATAAAAGCAAATGAAATAGAAACAAAACATCAAAAATTAGCCGACATTCATTCCGAATTTGAAAATAAACGTCTAGAAAAAGCGGTTTGTTTTCTTATTTTGAATAAAAAAAATATTTCAAACGAATTATTCATTTAGGCGGAAGAAAATCGAGCCAAAAAAGAAGTAGGTGATATAGTCATGGCACTTCATTTAGAATCTCAAAAAGGTAAAAATGATAAAAGTGAATATTCAAAGTATGTTACAAAATATCAATTTACAATGGATATTATTACTATTGTTTTTATTTTTCAGTCTATTGAGTCGTGAACGAATTGATACAATTAAACATGATCTTCGACAAGAAGAAACATTTGAAGAACGACTTAAGTAAGTTTTAAAAGAGAACGACCGTTTTCAGATAGATGCGTATCAAAAGTGAATCCTTTTTAGTTCTCATTTTAATATTAGTCTTAACACCAAAGTTGCAAATACTTTGTACAAAACAGATATTTTCATTAAATATAGTAGTATCAGTATACAGAAAAGCAGCACCCACGCTAGCGAGGGGAGGGGGTGTACACTCCCCCCCCCCCCC